TAGTGTCTTTCTGCCCCACCTGTATTCTGGCCAACTTCACCCTACTTTCCTCTGTAAAGGTAATCTGGACCTGCCCTTTCTCCAAGTATTTTGGGTCCCGATCGGTCACTGTGGCAAACAAGAAGCTCTCAAAGTTGTCATATGACAGACAGACCAGGGAACCAAAGAGCAGCCTCTTAGAGTTCTGCCAGCGCACAAACTGCAAGAACAAAAATAAAGCATTATTAACAGCCTTGTTTATAAATCTCTTCATTTTTATGGAAGACTTATGAAATCAATCCAGAGCCTCACCTTAAGTGGCTGAACATCAAACTGGACAATGTAGGCGATACCTGTCTGCGTGCACTTGGGCACCACCAGTTGTGTGGCAAAATACACACGAATGTCATCCAAGCGCTTCATCTTCAATGGGTTATCGTTCCTTCCCATGGCCATCTGGTTCTGGAGCAACTGCTGAATTCCCTCACGAAGCGGTCGCACAAAGTCTTCTCTAAGCAACCGGAAGTGTGTATCGAGGTAAAGGTGGGTGTTTGTGTATCTTTGGGAGGTAAGGTTAGGTCTGAGAAATGGTTTGTGGTTCTGATGGAACTCCTCAGGAGTTGGGTAGAGTGGTATGTTTCTGAAATCTTCCTGTTCTTCACCTGTGGCAGAAATGTAAGCACTTAAACAAAGAGAAATGTTTTACAGCTAATCATGTGACTAGAAATATCTTAAGGAGGCCTGACCTTCATTATCATCAGCATTAGTCAGAAGACCATAAGTGTCCTTGTCTGTACGGAGGGTACCTTTCCTCGATCTCTCCTGGAGATGAGCTATTAGAACCTTGAGAGTTTCCATTTTTTCCTCTACTTTAGGCAGGAAGGCAACACCTGATGCCCTCAGGGTGTTTATAGAGGCTTCAAGCAAAGTCACTAACATATTCACTGTATTGACAGAGCTTGCAGGGAAGATACTAAGCACCTAAGAAGCATAGATGATAAACAGTTCATTAGGTAACAGTATTTTATTCTGTTAAATACACTGGAAAATTTACTATTGCCAAAAATTAATTTTCTCAAGCAAGTGGTACATTATTTCAAGTGATAGTTACCTCTAAAAGAATGGCTGTGATGTATTCCAGATGCTGTGGGAATTGTGCTCTGCGGGTCTGGTTGGAGTCAGACATCATGGCTCCCACATAGTGAAGCAGGGTGATGCTTAAGAACTTTGACTCTTTTATGATGTTAGCCAGGTGCTGCAGGGTACCTCGATCTGTCCTTGAAGTGAAGGCTTTGCTCACCACCAAGCAAATAAGTTGGACAAGGTCTGGTCTCATTGGTGTCTCACCAAGAAGCACTCGAAAGCCAGGATTTGAGGAGAGTGTAATGGCCACAACAGAGGGTTCCTGTTTGGAGAGGTCTTCCAGTGTTTTATAACCCAGTTTACGATCTGTCCCATCTTTGTTCTCATCCCTGCCTTCCCTTCTGTCTCCATTGTGTCCCCCTCTCCTTGCACCTGTTCCTGCTGCCCCTGCTCTCATTACTTGTTCATTTCTGGCTCCTCCAAGTCTCAGCCTTTCAGCACCTCCCCCTCTATGTCCACCTCTCCCTCCTCCTCTCGCTCCTTCTCTCTGTCTGTCTGCATTTCTTTGACTATGCCCCTGACTTTGTGCTCTTCTTCTGACTTCTTGCTCTCTCACTCTGTCTCCCTGCAACCCTCCTCGTCCTCGTCCTCTTTGTCCATGTCCATGTCCATGTCCATGTTCATCTTGGCCATTTTCATATTGACCTGAGAGAAGAATAATAACAGTGATTTTTTTTTTTTTTTACAATTAACAGGGGGTCTATGCATCGTGCAATGCAAACGTATTCATTCTCCTTGAACCTTACATTAACTTACCAACATAGAACACAATTTTGAAACAGATGGAAAATACAGTTTTCAAAAATATTCACTATAATCAGAAAATGTAGGCAAGTATTGTTATTAATCCCCTTTTACTCTGATACCCCTAAATCAAATTGTATGAAACAACGTCTAATTACGTGATAAACTCTACTTTTGCATCATGAAGATTGTTCCATATAGACCTCAGAGATTTGTTAGAGTATAAGCAAAATACCCTAATGATCTGACAGATAAAGTTGTGAAGAAGTTTTACGGTTTATAGAACTGGAAAGAGTATTGTGAACCTACTAACAAAACAACCACAACAACAAGCACCATCAGCGCCTATGGTTACTTTAGAGGAGTGGCCCAAATCCACGTCTCAGGCAGGAGAATTTATTGACAAGTGGACTAATAGCTGCACACTCCATAAATATTGCCTTAATGACTAAAGAGCAAGAAGAAAGCTGCTGTTAAAAGAAAGCCACGCAATTTCTAATTTGCAGTTTGCTATGGGGAAAACAACAAATATGTGGTAGTAGATCGGGTGTGACTAATAATTAACTTTATGCAAAACTCAATGTATGCAAAAAAACACATTGACTGTGAATATAATTGCACCATTCTCCAGTGAGAATGGTGTGATCACTAGATCAGGCTGTTGTGATGTTTGTTTTTTCCACAAGGAGAGGCAGATGGGTCAGAGGTGATGGACAGCTGGATGGAGGTAAATACGTGGTAATCATGAAAATGAAAAACTTTCAACAAGATGACACCTGAATTACAATGAAACAGTTAAGAGCAATACGTGGCACTGTGTTACAGTCCAAGCTTCAGACCAATTAAGAATCTGCACTAAAACAATAAAACTGATAGTGTACACATTGAATATGACTACATTTTACAACTATAAATGAAATAAAATATTTTGGAAACCACATATTGTTTTGCATCGACTCCACACTACTTTGAGTTTGAACATTAAAATTCAAATAGATACATTGAAGTTTGAGCTTATAACAAGACAAAATGTGAAATTCTTGAGGGAGTTTTAATACTGCTTCAATGCACTCCACTGTATGTGTTATTCTGACAGGCATATTGATGGAAATAACTAACCATTATGAGTCCCTCTTCTGTCTGACCTAAAAGTCAGCCTATCCATGGCATTTCATGTGGTAGTTGTTGATTTCTATACAGGTTGTACAGGATATTTCTGAAACAGAAAATAAAGTGAAAACAGATATGAACACCACATCCAAGTGAATATCTAAACACAATGAAATACCCGAGCATACCCAAAAGTAAAACTCAAAGAAAACAGATAACATGTAATTCTTCACACTCAGAATCAACAGGAATTTCAAAGGTCAAAATAATGATTGCAGTCAGATAAGATAATTTGCTTTAATTTTCACATAGGAAATTCAAGCAAACTTTCTGATATCTTGTCCTGATCCGTTTTTAGAGCAAAATGCGTGTGTACATTTCAGTCCCGCGCAATACTGAAGTAATTAAAAATCAATCTAAAAGGTCTTTCCAGAACATTTTCTTTGCAGTAGTTCCAATTTGAATCCTTGTTGCATTAATATGAGCTTCAGTCAGAAGAAAGTGCGCCCTCTTTAGGAGTCACTTCATTCCTGCGTTAGTGTAAGTTTCCTTTCTCTGGAAACGGTGACGACTTTGACAACAACAAAGCATGTTATGTTAGCAACCCCCAGCACAAACGTCTCCCCAAATAAGAATTAACTTAACGATCTATATGTATTACTGTAGAACCAACCTCAGTTCTTGGTATACCTGTAATCGAGTTAAGGACATTATTTTATCATGGAAATTAAATGAAATAGGCTATTTATTAAATGGTAATTAAATAAATAGCTTCAATATATACCAAATAAAATGAAAATGAAAATTTTCACCTTAAAATCAGTAATATGTTACAGTGCTACGACACTGAAGTTGTCGGAATCTAAAAAGGTTCAGTCAGCTCTGCCGGTCGCTGGACGTCCGATATCTGACTGCGCCAGCTGTAGGCGGCTTTATAACTACTTCCTAGTTTCTGTTTTCGTTTCATCAGAACTACACCACGCCTAGCAGACACAGACGCTGCAGGGGAAGAAACCGTGACTCATCTTAATCAGATGGTACTGACTGGTTCCTGGTGATTGACTGGTTGAGAATTTGTTTAAGGACAAGTTGGACAGTGTTGATTATTATGACAAGACGACGCTGCGATGGACTCTGCTGATATGTTTATGTCAAACTGGTGCTATTTGCAGAATGAATGTAATTGTATTTGCATTGCATCCATACATTTGCAATGTGACATTTGAGGATACAAAATGTAAAAATAAAACCTAGATAAAAATACTTTCTTTGCTGCAATTTTACATTTATCCTTATTGTGAGTGAATGTAAGGATGAATGCCGCCCAGAAGTCATGAGCATACATTTCCCAGCATGTTCAGCCTTTCAGTAGAGAAAGTGATCTGCATTGAGTTCCTCAAAACATAAAAATCTGATAATCTGATGTGGTTGAATAACACCACGGGGATAGAGAAACAGAGTAGAACAGAGACTGTTTCTGAGGAAACTGAAACAAACATTACTTCCTGTTGACATCCTCTCAGCAATGTGTAGAGCTGTGAGTGTGGAGATCCTGTACATTGCGTTACTTCAGCAGCAACATAAAAGAGAACAGGGTCCTGCAGATTATAATGGAGGAACTAGTGTTGCTCCAATTTGATGAGTTTTGTTGTTGTTGTTGTTGTTGTTGTTTTGTTTTGTTTTGGTGTCACTGCATGTATGTGTTTATTTGAAAACTTTGTATTTTGTTAAATTAATACGATAAGGCAGTATGTCTTTATTGTGCTTTTTTTATGGAAAACTACACAATTGGATATTATACTTAAATTTTTGAATTGTACTCTTGACATTATTACACTTTTTCTGATACATCTGTTGACTTTTTTTCTTTGTTTATTTTGTATTTAGTTGTGGCCTTAATTTGCATAACATGTAGTGGAACTGAAATACATACCCCGATTGGTTTTGTTTTGAAAAGAAAAAAGAGAACGCCCTCCGCCCTACTTTCAGCTGGGTCTTTCGCCGGCTGACTGGTAAGGAACTGACTCCGCCACTCAGCTGGAGCAGACGTCATCATTCATTCTTAGCAGGGAAGCTAACGCTGATGCAGATCACTTCCGCCAGTGTAAACATGTAGCGGCTTCTGCGGTTCTTACGGTATATTCCTTTTAACTAGCGCTCTAAAAAACTGATGGCTCTTTTAGTGGAAGTATCGTTAACGGAACCCGACTGGTGCGGTGCCAGCTTGGTTATTAGCTAACACAGTAGCAAGACAACTATCAGGGGCCGTGTCTTTATGAAGGCTACCGTTGCTAATTAAAACAACGGCTATTTACTACAGCAAGCATAGGAACTGTAACAGGGGGTTCGTCAACCGAAAAATATCAAGAGATGATTTGCAATAAGAACTCACCAAGAAGAGGAGAGAAATGAGGACGACTAGAAGTGATCGCTCGTCGTCGCCGATGAATGGAAGACAAGGTACGTGGAAAACAGTGCACCACGCAAAGTTAATTAAAAGACTGCCAGATTGCGACTACTCACGAAAGCAGTTATAAGTCACTGGTTCATATTTTTTTGAAACGTAATCTCTCAATTCTGCTTGCAGGTTTTTACTATTGATTTTTCACTGTAACGTTGAGAATAGACACTTTTTCCCCCCTCTTGTAGACTGGGAAACCAAACGGAAACGGAAAATTGCAGACATCAACCAGGCCCTGAGTGTGGATCCAGTGGACGTAGCAACGCTGAGGAGGATGGCAATCAGTGAGGGGGGACTGCTGACCGATGAGATTCGCTGTCAGGTCTGGCCCTGGCTCCTCAACATCCCCCCAACCCTATTGGATCAAGAACCTGGTACCGTTTTTTGCATAGCTCTTTATTTTTGTGTGTATATACAAATGCATATAAAAAGCAATTTTGGATGTATATATATATATATATTTTCCCTCAACCTGATCAAACTTCTGCTTTTTTTATTTAGCATGATGGCAGTTATTTTCACACTCTGCTCAGGTGCAACTTCTCCTTGCATACACTGTTTGCTTATGGTAATTTGTCCTGTCCAGAAAAAGTAGAGCGGGAAAACAATAAGGATTACAACCAGGTCTTGCTTGATGTTCAGCGTTCTCTACGAAGGTTTCCACCTGGTGAGTAGTTTGCACAACAAACTGCTGTTATTCACTGCTTTGCAGTATGTCCAACATGTGGGAGCCTTTTTAGGAAGCTGTCATAATCTCATTCAAATTACTGTTAAGGTGTTGGAAATTCTTGTTTTTTTATACTAAAGAGACAAAACCTTTTATTTGTATTAGAGAATCATATTGGAATTTGATTGTAGGATGCTGCAAAGGTCTTAAAATGTTTATATTCTGCTAACAAAACACCTTAATGAACTAAAAACAATTAAATAAATAAAATAAACATTCTCTTGAAATTAATACAATCTTACAAATTTTTAACCCTTACTTGCTGACCTGGAGGATTCAGCTGACAGTCAACACTGATGCCGTTTTTATTGGATGCACTATGCACTACAAAACATTTGCCAAGTCCTCTCACAAGTTATTTTCTAAGTCAGAATTGGTTGTGAAATGCTGTGCTTATGTTAGTTGGTCTTGGAAAGGATTGTCTAATATCCACCAGTCTGAGTTTCACATAGCAAAGTTTAATACCTTGTATTACTTGTATGCAAGTGAAGGTTTCATTTTTGTGTCTTCAATGTAAATGTATTAATATAGCACCTGCTCACAACAATGTTGTCTCAAGGCACGTTTACAAAAAAAGTTGTAAGACCATTCCAAGACCATTACATACATTTCAAATTGATCCTATTTAATAAACTAAGTTTTTATTTAAGAACAGCCCTGTTTAATTAGTTTTTTCAGTATTAAAGTTAATACGCTTCACTTTTCATGCAGCCTCAAAACCTATTTCAAAAATGCTATTTTTTATTATATAGATAGAATATTATTAAAACATATTTGTTTCTCTTAAAAAATTTATGACAAAAGTTAGCTTTAAGAGATTTTGACTGGTCTGTCTTAAGAATATATACATTTTATTTTTAGTTGCCCTGATGTTTTAAACATATTAAGATATTAAAAAGCAGCAACACTGAAAACGTATAACAGCAACATTTCATCTTCAATGTGCTTGTGCAGGTATGCCAGATGAGCAGAGAGAGGGTCTTCAGGAAGAACTAATTGACATAATCCTGAGAGTGCTGCAACGTAATCCCCAGCTGCACTATTACCAGGGATACCATGACATTGTTGTCACCTTCTTGTTGGTCGTGGGGGAGCGCCTGGCAACTGTTCTAGTGGAAAAACTCTCCACACATCACCTCAGGTACATGCCAAAAGCAAATTGGTCAGCAGTTTGTCTTCTGTTAAGTTTGTCTTTTAAGGTTAGATTAGACTTAAATCTGAATTCTTTGTTTTGCCCTCTATCACAGGGACTTCATGGACCCCACCATGGACAACACAAAACACATTCTTAACTATCTGATGCCTATTATTGAAAGGGTCAACCCTGAGGTGCAAGACTTCATGCAGCAGTAGGATTTCTTCTTATTTTATACACCGTTATGATTGATGATGCTGGCTCTGGTAGATATTCAAAAAACAAAATCCTCTAAAATGCTCACGGTATAAGAAGAATGAGAAGGATGATACATGCACAACTTAAAAGGGAAGAAAACTTAAAAAGCACAACAAAACTGTTGTCTACTTTAGACAGTCACAACAGTTTTACAGGGACATAAATCTAAAAGCATTGAATGGAATTTTGCATCCCTGAATATTAATTCTTATTAACTAACATGTTCTGCTGTGAAAAACCCAGAAGCAATGTTCTATTTAAAAAAAAAAAGTTCACATAAATGTTTCACATTAATATTCACAAACATTGCAGATAAATGCAGTCTCTGCGCTCTTTAACAGAACACTGATCCTATTATGATAGCTTAACTTCAGACTGTAAACAGGACGTCATTAAGTCCTTTGCTTGGCGCGCTGATTCCATTGATGGCCTTTTGAACTGACTTGCTCTGTCTGGTTTCCTCATGTAACCTAAGATTTCTGATCTTATTGTGTGGTTTTTTTTTTAATGAATGTATGAATATAATTGGTAAAACAAATTAGTGGGTAAGAAGCCGTGAATTATCTCAGGCTTGTTTGTAAGTTGTTCTCACTGTAAGTCTTTTATTATTTCTCAGGGCTGAAGTGGGCACAGTCTTTGCTCTTAGCTGGCTGATAACCTGGTTTGGCCATGTGCTCTCTGATTTCCGTCATGTTGTACGGTTGTATGACTTCTTTCTGGCCTGCCATCCTCTGATGCCAATCTATTTTGCGGCTGTGGTAAGTTTCCTTTCATGTCTACTTAATTGAATATTTCATCAGAGAAAATAGTTTTGATACAGTAATATGAAACAAATAGGAATGCACTGTACAGTAAATGCCCTCAGTACTTAGTTTGGGTCCTGATGTGTGGATTACTATATCTGTGCAGTGTGGCATAAAGGCCATCACATTTTTTTCTTCCACTTAACTTTTCACTATTATTCTCAGGTACAGCAATTACTTTTCACACCCTATCATTCATGTGTAAGATGTCAATGGTTGTCTGCTGAACAACTGTCCCAAATTGCAACAGGATTCTGTTGCAATTTGGGACGTTCTAATTTTTTTTTAATTAGGAATAAGCCATAATCATTACATTTACCAGGGAAAAAAATTCTACTCTACTGAGATGCTGCTGTGACTTAATCAGATTTACAATTTGGCACTTTCCTTCCCTCATCTTTGATAGAAAGAGAAACAGTTGAATGCTGATGTGATTGATCCCCTTTGAGAAGGGTAATTTTAGCTGTGTCACATCTTGATGTTCGACATGTTTTTTATTTTCTTTTTTTTCCTCGAGATTGCAACTAGTTTGGCAAGCCCGATTTTTGTCTGAAATGTTGTTGCAGCTTGTTACACCCCTGACAGCAGACTTTTTCAATGGCACTCACAGTAAATGCTTGCACTTGTTATGATGGCCCTTGAGAAATGCGTGCTTTATCTGTTGCAGATTGTGCTACACCGAGAAGAGGAAGTGTTGGACTGTGAATGTGATATGGCAATGGTCCATCACCTGCTGTCTCAGATTCCCCAGGATCTGCCATACGAGACCCTGATCAGCCGAGCTGGAGACCTCTTTGTCCAATTTCCTCCCTCTGAATTGGCCAGAGAGGCAGCTGCACATGAAAGGTACTTAAGTCCTTCGGGCTGATGCTTGTAAACAATTTTTGTGCCATCTTTTATTTCTCTCCCTTGCATCTTCTTTTAATATAAAGCACAAATTAAAGTTTCCTTTGCTTTTCACCAACAAGCATAATTTGCTGTTCTTCTATTAACTTCTTCAACGTCCTTTTTTTCTCCCCCCTTTTCATCTCTATTTTCCTCCTAAGCATGGCGACTTCTACCTTTAAGGACTTTGAGCTTCCATCTACTCAGCAAAAGCCGGACACAGTTCACCGTCGCAGACGCAAACAAAAGCAGGGTTCTCCAGAGAGCTCGACTGTGAGCCCTGTCATGACTGTGGCACAGCCTTCAACTGCCCGGCGCTTTGTCAGATTGGCAGTCATGGGTCTGACTGTAGCGTTAGGGGCAGCAGCTCTTGCTGTGGTTAACACAGCTCTGGAGTGGGCCCCCAAGCTGGACTTATTTCCTTGAACTACCCTAAAACCAACATGACATCTTTTCTGACCTTGACTGATGGGTCCTTTCCAAGAACGCTCTGACCATTTTTGGAGTCTAACACTGGCTGGAGAGTGCTAACTAAGCTGAACATCTTAACACTCCTCTGTTGTTGTCAAGGATGTGACCAAACATTCTGCTCTGAGAGGAGTTTATAAGTCCATGGCACTTTTGAATCCTTAAAAGGGTGTGTAGGTTCAAAAGCTGCTGGTGCTCCTAAATGAAGAAATTCTCAATGTTAAAATGAAGAAAATATTTCAAAGGACTGTTGTTAATTGTGTCATAATTAAAGTTTATTTATATTTTGTAATAGGACGTCTGATTTAGTGTTTCGCTCACTGAGATTTATGCTGAAAGCCTGACTCACTACACTTGAAACTTGCTGCCAAGAATGAGAGAATGTGTGTTTGTGTGCATGTGTGTGTTTGATTGCAACTCATTTGTTATATGCATTTGATACCTGTTCTGAGACCAACTTGAGGATCCCCTGTATTTAAACAACTGTAAAATTTGAGGGATGTTAGTAGTTTGACTGGAACATGAAACCATTTTACAGTCATAATTTTATGGGTTTAAGTTTCTTCATCCTCTCTTGTTTTTCAATTGTAGAATTTGGATCTTTTTCTGTAAATGGAGCATCTTCTAGAAATGTCAATCTTCATTGTGCATTTTAATTAAGGTTTGTGGCTAAGATTATCTACTTTTCATATGGAAATGCATACAAATGGGTATAAGCAAAGTAGTCTAATTTACATACGTCAGTAATTTTATTGAAGGTTAACGCTGATATCATAGAAATGGCTTTTGCAATCTGGAAATAAACAATGACTTAGCAAAGAGTTGCAAGAAAACCCAAATATTTAGTAAAACAATCTGGAAAATGGCTCCTCTGAGACATGCCCTTAAATAACTATTCAGTCTTCTGTCTCTCTTCTGGGTAAGTTCACACGAAGAAGAATAAATGTCTTTGCAAGGTATCTTTAAATCCTCCTCTGTAAATAAGGATAATTTCTTAAAGTGGCTAGAGCATTCACGCTGGTCTACCTGTAAAGTGCCACTCTTATTCTTTGTAGTGGAATAAAATGCTTGAATTATGTTGCAGAAATGCTGATGACAAAATCATAGCACATTTAGATCCTGAACCAGAACAGCATTTTAATCCCTACATTTAAGCTTTGTATTATATTGACTGAATTACATCTGTCCAACTTTATTAGAGAAAGCTTACACACTTGATGTTAACTTTGTGTTGCAGAACCCAGTAGTACATTTTAAGAGGATTTATTTTTATATGTCTTGGGAAGCCTGGGTATGAGCAGCATGCTGTTCTTTGGCTATGGGTATGAAACTAAAGTGTGTGCCTGAACACAGAAGGGTGTGACAAATACATGCCAAATTATAAGCAGACTACTGACATTTCAAAAATGGCTTATGTCTGGAAAAACAAATACTACTTGTCTGATCTCTGGTTTGTCAGAACAGATTTTCTTCTGGTATGCAATTTCACTTTCAAACATATCGTAAGCTTTATTTGAACACGACACTTGGTAAATTTAGTTTCTGAGTGTGCAATGCATTCATGTTGTCCAAGCTTTTCTATTCACCTTTTTAAAAAGGTGAGTTTTATATCATTTCCTTTTTGGAAATGACATAAAAACTTGTCTTGACAGAAAATTAGAAACATGTCAAGTTGGTATATTTCTTGATCTATGTAATGTTTTTTTTCCTTTAATTATAAAAATGATGGCTGCAGAGTGAGGAGTTACCTACATACTTATGATGGCATATTGTTCTTTTAATTCAGCTTCAGTAAAGCAACTCACAAGAGAACTCAACATTTATCACTCTGTATCTGCATTGTATTTAAAAGATTAAGAACCCATATTATGTGCCACAACTGGAAATGGCTCTAAATCTCTAAACCATAATGAAGATGACCTGACACAAAGGAATCTATGAAAACACCTGCTGATCAGTATCACAAAGGAACAAAGGATCACTTAGTTTTACATAAGATGCCACTCAGTGGAATTTATTTTCATTGCACTAAATGATGTATCTGCCTTTTGATTATTTTGTTATAATAAAACTGATATACTAATGTAAAGTTGTACTATAGATTGATAATAAACTTGAGTGAAAGTGTTTGCTGTATTTGTTTGAATTCTTTATTCGGTTAAAACATAATGCTTTTTTGATGCTGAAATAGCTTTTCATTTTAAAACTTGTAGAGTATGAAATGTTTTAAAAGTTTTGTTAATTTTAAATAGTTGTGCAGCATCATTTAAAAAAAGTTATCTCAGGGCCCTTATGCTAAAAGTGGACAAGTTTAATCTATTAATACAAATGAAAAGAGTATGAACCGTAAAACCGGTATATAGTGAAGTATGCATAAAGGTCTTTTCTGAATACCACCCTATGTTCTTTTGGAGAGTAGTTGAACGATACTAGATTCCAGTGAGATTAAAAAGCCAGTTGGTCATTTCACTGATTTGTCTCACAATATGTGAATTTGACCTCCAAACAATAGAGGATTCTGCACCTTGTTGAAGGAGACTCCATGTTTGAATAGTAATTTTTCTCTCTCTCAGCATGCCAATGTATGCAGAAATATTTTATAGCACAGTGCTGTGCACATATCTTTGTAATGAAAACCATACAGTAAACAAATATCTAATTTTAAATGATTTACATGTTTTTATTCTAAATTGTACATATATCACAATGTTGTGAAATGCTACTTGTGTGTTTATCCATATTACTAAATGCTATTTTCTTTGACAGTGAGACCAACCTATGTTGCAGCTGACTGAACTTTAAACCTTTCGTAATCTCTTAACATGCACAATTTGGAGGTGTGTGTGCTTCTCTTTCTCTTGCGCTCCCTAGACTCACCTGATAAATTCTAAGTATATCATGTTGTTTTGAGCTTTCATTTTGCTTCATTTGTAACCTTGTTCAAATTCTCTGACTGAACCAAAGTTGTGCGAGCTCATCCACATTCTGCATTCATTTCTCGTTTTCAATGTCATTAAGCGGGTATAGTGTAAAGTGGACCTATGCGTGAATCTCAGTTTATAAGCCTCTGTGAGGTTTAATTTGCAACAATCACACATTTTTCAAGTGATTCCAGTTTATTAGAATTAGAGTTTATATTCTGCAGTACATATCTTTTCAATATAAACTTGGCAATGCATATTTAGATATTGCAAAATCTAATTGGAAGTTTTAAGGCAGCACAATTCCGCAGTTCAGCGGGAAGGGTACAAAAGAATCATAATTGTAACAAAATTTTTACAAGGTAATTACTTAAAAATCCTAAGTCTTTGTAAAAATAAAATGATACAATGACTTTAAATTTCAATTATTAAATGTGTGCTCCCTGCCTGAGAAAAGAGATCTATAACACCTTCAAAGAAAACATCAAGACCAACACCTAAAGATACAAATCACATAATGCAATACATTTTATCCTGCACTTATTCAGGAGTAAACATTTAAGATGAAGAAATCATTATACATTTTCATTACGTCTCTCCAAGAGCATCAAAATAAGGAGATTTACATAAAAAAATATGCAATTAATGTAAACGGTACACAGAGCATCCTTCACCCCAGTCTGAACAAAAGACTGAATAATCCTAACAATTCCCAAAAAATTGTGTCGTCGGCAAAACAGAGCAACATACATAAATTACAACTTAGAAATACTTTAATCTCAGTTAAACTTTGATTGCATTACATTGGTTCCCGCAATTGCAATCTTCATTGTTCAATTATTCTGGTGCTTTTTTGAGTACTGCTGAGTTGGAAAGTGACAAAGACAAATTATTGAATTATTAAGACATAGTTACAAACTATTTTGGAGAAACATAAAGGGAGGTCCATATATTGAAGCTGTTTAGGTGTTAAGCCTTTTTTTTTTTTTTACTTTTGTTAGACAATACAAACTCACTGCATAGGGACTGCATTGAAAGAACGTGGAACAACATATGACTTAATCACCAGATTTATAATAAGAATTCTAAGGTATTTTTTTCCTAGAGTTGACAGTGTGACATCTTTAATTGTTGATAGATTTTCTCCTATTTTGGCGAATGCGCTATCAACGTTTACATGAGTGTAAAATATAATGTGTTCAAGAGTTTAATGCATCAGATTCTTAATTAAATTGAAACAGTTCACAGTGACAGAGTGGATTGTTGAGCTTAAGAGTTTGTTTGCCTCAGTGACAGTTTTGGCAATTGGGATGACAAGGCTGATTGTTGACCCGACATTTACAGCCACCGGATATATCACCAGTTCCCTGCAAAAAGAAAAAAAAAAGTTAGTGAGTAACTCAAACAACAACAACACAGTCCTTCATTTTAATATCAAACTACACAAGTTTGTGTTGTTTCGTTTTCTTGTGTATTGTGCAATGAGATTTACTTTTGGTCCCCATCGGGCTTGTTTGGTGACCCAGCAGATTTCCGTCTTGCACATCAGACAACAGATCCAATCGCAGCCATCCTTTTTCTGGACAATGATGTCACACCGTGGGCATTTCATGGCTTCTCCATTCTGCAGCATGTTCTACAATCACAGAATTATTTAACACTCAGTTAGCAATTTAGTACATTTAGCCATGTACTAAATGTCACTTTCTAAAGTTTTGTATCACAAGCGTTTCTGACACGATAGCCAAATTGTGAGGATTAAGTGAAATTACACACACAGTGGGGGACTGAATCAATCAGCAAATATTCATCCAACTTAACAAAGATCAATAGTTTAAAATGAGAAAAATAATAATATAATATTTCACCCCAAAGACTGAACATCGTGCCTCAAAAATCGCAATATTGCACTATTTTGGTGAATTAGATGTGTTAGTTTTAGTCTGTGTGTGCAGTCATGATTAGAAATTTTTCATTTTGAAAACAGACAGAAACATATGTCTCTCTGTTTGCAAGTACTTTTTCATAGCACGACACATTCAAATAAGACTTCAAAAGAGATTAACATAGCTATAAAAAAACAACAAAAGTAACAGTTTCCACATTCAGCTTTAGGCTATCCTACCTCCAGCATCTGCTTTGTCTTCTGAGCTGCTTCATCATTCTCTGCTCGGATGCGCAGATCATCCTGGTAGTCCTTGCAATTCATGTCTTTGTGGATGGCCTAAAACAAAGTCAGCAAAATCAATTATTTATTATACCTTTAATATTACAATGTATAAAAGTAGATCTATTATTAGTCTGAGTCAAAATTGCAAAGTTACTCGGCAGAGAATGCAATTGGTCTCATTGCAGAGGTCGCAGTGGAACTCGTTGACGTCATCCTCATAGATGCACCAGCCTCGGCAGTTGGGGGTCTGGCAGTGGAAGCTGTGCTCGGAGCGACTTTCTGCAATGCTTAAGCGCAACTCCAGAAACCGCTGGTGCTCCTCCTCTGTGAGAAGCTGACCAAGAAATTGCAGCAAAATTACAGGTTGCATATTTCCTCATGATAAAGGCAGATCAATTAGAAATTGCATAGCGCACTAACACTTGAGCAAATGTCTAAAGGTGTGTGTGCTTTGCAACAATGATTATTCCAAGGGTGGGTTCTGACTGCAGCAGCAATGTTACTAAATTTAGATTCAATAAATTCAAATGTGGAAAAGTTGAAAAAGACGTCCTTATTTATTATAAATAGTTTACATTCGTCATTGGGTTCTCTGCATTGAATGTTTTTTAGCTCACCTCTTTAATTTCTCGATCCAATAACTTGCTCTCGCAATCTGTATCTGCACAAGATACCTCCGCATCCTGGCTGTTTATGACTGTCCCTTTAAGACACTCCCTGAAGGAAGACAATATGTTCAACTGTTCAATTCAAAGATTTTACTTGATTTTAGTAGACTGTTTTTACCTCTTAAACTACAAAAAAAAAGGCCTCTCTAACCTGCAGAAGGTGTGCAGACATTCTCTGAGCACAACCCCGTCTCCTGGCTCCAGAGTAGAAAAACAAATGGGGCAATCTGTCTCTGTGGTGTTAGTGATGAGGTTTTGGTCATCTGTGGCCAACAGGTACAAATAGTTCTGCTCACGTTCCAGCTGTTGAGCCTTCATTACAAGATCACAGAGGAGAAAGTGAACAAAACATGGATTTAGATCAGCAAGTACACATAATTTATATCAACCATTACTGTTGCAGTTTACTTGATTTAACAAAAGTGAACTGGCTGTAATTCAGACCAATTAATCCCTTTAAATCATATAATGGGTATTGCTTAGACAGTTAATCAGCATTGCATACCTGTTCATATTGCAGTAAAGCCAGTTGTTCTTGCTGAATGCGCAAGACTTCGTCCTGATCTGGCTGATAGACGTCTGGTACTTCATAGTCCTGAGGTCTTTCTGCTCCACACATCTCACAGCCGGGACGTGTTGGTTTGTTGAGAAAAGTGCACATCGTGCAGGGCCAGCCCAACTAAACACAAATACACAAATAACTCCACTGCTAAAAATGTAATAAGGGTTAGCATATCCAAAAATAATTTATAATAATATGTCTTTTCATTAGATCATTCTCAGAATGATGAAAACATCACTTTAAACAAGATTCAAATGTAGTTTTATTGGGAAATTAATACAGATTTACATGGGCATGGAATTAATTCATTTTAGGCTTTAGGTAAATAGCTTATTTTTAAGTTATTTACTAGATTGCTTCGTTGAATTGAAGTTGAATTTATTGTGGATTTAACGTAATTCAAACAGGATCAAAATTATAAAAGGCAGGAGCAAAAAATCAACCAAACCTCCCCCCCCACCCCCCCAAAAAAAAAAAAAACTTTATCAATATCTTATTTAAAATGGCTCTACTAGTCTTTTGGAATAATTCTGGCATATTTTAACCATTCTGACATATTTTAACGACTCTTTTGTGCTGGACAAGGAGGTTTTTTGACATAGATGGGGCTTTTGATCATATTCACCAACTCATTAATAAGCTTGAGGTCAGAGTTTAAATGTTTATTTTGGTTTAGACTGAAACAAATTTTATGTGTATCCAGCATCACTAGAACATTCAAGAAGAACAAAAGATCAAGGTTTAAGTAAGTAATGTTGAAACTTCAAGAACTCCAGGCTCCCTGATTCCAGAGAAGCAAGTTCCACATTACTGCTGATTCTTCCCAACTAAGAAATCTTTGGTTTAAAATCAGAAACTTTGAGCTTCAGCTCAGCTGAAGCTTGCAGCTGCCCAAATGCACGAGCCGAAAGCTTCACAAAGAAGATTTTTATGGCTAGCCGAAACAACTGGCTATTTGACCACAATTACAACTGCATTGTACAACTTAGATGGAAATAGACAAGGCTACCTTCAAATGAATACCCATTATCCTAAATAAATTATAATGGTTGAAACATAGACACTACTGTAAATTCTAAGGCAATAAAAATTACATACAAATATAGAAAATGTAGTAGAAACAATAACTGAACTCAAGTTTTCTTGGACCGTACTTAAAAGTTGAGGTTGTGCAAAACAACCATCTGAATTAAGTTAACAATCAGTTCTGCAAAGGGACACGGTAAAATGTCCAGCCAATATGATCCCAAAATTTTGTTGATAACTTCAAAGAATAGTGTAGTCAATGTGCAACTTGAAAGCAACATTTCTTAAATATTACCATAGTAGGGCTGAATGTGTATCCAATTGAGCCTGTACGTGATTACAAACTCAATCATGGTTGACTGAAATATGAAATTGTTACTATTATGTCATCCATGCCCATGAACTGTGTATGTAAAAGTTTCAACAGAAGTGCATTTGCAAGTCATTATCAAGCCTATGATTTTTACGTTATCTACGTTCTCACCCGAGGTTTAGGAGCAGGTTTGGGAGGAGTCACGTTTTTAGGAGGAACAGGAGGAGGAACTGTTTTGTCGCCACTGCCTGCGCCTCTTGGATGAAGCTGCAATAATGGCAAAGATTCCACAATACCTAAAGACAGAAATGCACAGAAAAATTAAAGTTATATATATATTTTTTTAATCAATATTTAGTTGGATAAGCTCAATTTTATTTTTCTTGCTTAATTACTTGAAGAAAGTCTCCACAGAAACTGCATATAATGTTTGCCATTCCAATCAATAAACAAGAGCAAAAATAGATTAGGAATGCACCGATAATTTGCCTGTTTTGGCTGCTGTTTTATGTCAGCCACATTATTGACAAAAAAATAAAATAAATTTCATGAACAATATAGAAGACAAGACACTATTTTCTATAAATGCAGTACTGACCAGCAATTCGCTGTTGTTCCTGGTCCTGTTTGTGTTGCTGCCGTGTAAGCTGGGCTGCATTGGCAGAGAGGATAAACAGGAAAGCCTGATCTCCGTTCTTGCGAATGCCATGGCTGTATAATGTCTCTTGATCTTGAGCCAAGCGTTTACCGATCACCCAGCGCTGCAGTGTAGGGTGAAACCCAAAGTCCTGACTGATCTGAAAATGTAAAAAAACAAAACAAAAACTAAACCAGCATGAAATGTAGAAACACAAAATAAATGATACTTAACCAAATACTGCATATGCTTCAATTACAGTACTGCAAATTATTGCAGTATTTGTGAACCATCATCACAAAACATTGTGATGATGGATTTGAGTATACATGTTGTTTTCAAATCAGAATGGAGTGGCATGCATTTGTATTCAGTCCTATACAAATGCATGTCACAAAATCCAGTGCAACTAGTTCCCAGTACAGAGTGCCTTTCAGGAATTTAACTCAGTATAGATCCAGCTGCTCTATGAAGGCTTCAGAAGTTTAATGGAGAACATCAGTGAACAAACAGCATCATGAGGACAAGAAACATTAGGAGATACATTAGGAGTAAAGTTGTGAAGAAATTTTAAGATCAGCCACAAGGCCTGATTTAACTCTAGAAGCTGGAGAGAGAGAACTTGGGTAGAAAAATCTGGAAATAGGATAGTTATCAATGACCTGCATTGAAAAGTGACAGTAGGAGAGGCATTGCTGATTGAACGCTATGAAATGCTCTGATTGCAGTTAACCATAAACAATGTGGGAGACACAGAAAACAAAGAAGTAAGATGCTCTGGTCAGATGAGACCAAAATTAAACCTTTTAAGCCAAAACATGACAGGTATGGGAGGAAAACTATTTCACACCACCTTAAACACACCATCCTCACTGGAAAACATTTAAAAAATACCTCAAGAGATATGGAAGCAAAGCAGCATTGTGTAGATCATATAGTAATATTGCTATGTTTTTGTGCGGTTTTGGACTTGTGGAATAAAAAAAAAATTATGAGGATGAAGCTTTACTGCACCTTATCTTTAACTTCTGCAATTGTCATCCCAGCGGAAACAATAAGGGTCACTGGGATGTAGTCTTCTGACTCCGCATCCTGCACACAAACCTTCAATCTACAAACAAAAAAACAACAAAAAAAAACAGTATATTCTATGAGATGAAAGTAATTTTCTATCAATTTTGTGTTATTTAAACATGTTTTTTTTTTGTCTTTGTCCAATTTGAGAGCAAACACAAGACAAGGCATGATGTTAATATCCAAATTAAATTCTAAGAACAGAGAATAAAGTGAATGTCCTTTGCCTGCACTCCTGCATCCCCCACCTGAAGGAGTCCTGAGGGTAGACATGGCTCTTGATGTTGACTGACACTTCAACAGAGAGCTGGGAAAGTTTTTTGCACAGCTCAGCTGCCTCTTCGGAGTCTCCACTGCTGATGGCTTCACCCAAGGAGAGGGCCAGCGCCTCTGCTGCAGGATCAGGAAGAGTTTAACACGTTACGTGACTTATTTATGTTTAGATGGGTTTCTGAAATAAGGCTTTGTCCAAGAGTTCTCTGAGCAGATAGGTTTCATTTTCACAACATGAACATAGACTGAAAAGAAAGCTGAATAAGTAAGGGCTGACTAAGCTGTGGAAATCAGTTTGTAGCGACTGATCTATCACACTTACGCAAATTGCAGTGAAAATAAGTCGATAATCATAAACTGATACCAAGCAGGGACAGCAACAACACGGAGAGTAAGAATTTAAATAAATAAATAAAGGTTTAAATAATCAAATCAAATCAAAACTCACCTTCTTTTATGTTACTTTTGAGTGAAATTTCAGAAGCCATTATCGTCCCCCAGACGTCAGATAACGCATGAATGACGCACACTTCACAAGCCGAACAGAAACTTTTAGTAGTGTCCAACCTTAAGAGTTTGAGTTGTAGCTGTTAGCTCAGCGTCCAAAGTCTCCTCCACTTTTCCAGTTTCAGGTCACAGAGGAAGCAAATAAAGGGGGGCTTACATGGGTCACTTCCTGCCTGATTTTGCCTTTAAGACGATCTTACTTCTAAGCGCCTGTCATCTGAACGGAAAGTGAAACTGGATCAAATTCAGGAAGAGAACATTTAAAGGGATCTGCCTTTCTCCCACGGCTCATTCTTTAAACTTACTTTTTGGTTTGAGGTTTTGCTATAAGAAACAAGAAATAAGAATAACATAATTTTAAAACCACACAGACAATGAAAACAAAACCAGTGTTATGTTTATGACATTAGACTTTTTTTTTATATATATATATATACCAAAAATCCAGCAGATGGCAGCATCCTTCTAAATTGGAAAATGCTTGACAACAACTGATGAACTTTTCTGTTTTATGTTACAGGTAAAACAGAACAATAAGAACAACAACAATAAAAAGTAAAAAGGATTGAGATGTAGCAACGATCACTAAAAAATTAAAAATGATAAAGATTAAATTATCGTATAAAATGATACATTTTGAGTAAAAATTAAAACTCAGAATGAAAACAACCCGATTAAGCAAGCAAAATCTTTTTGGGTATTTTGGGAAATGCCAGAAAGGAATGTTAAGAAAACCACAAACTTAGAAGTACACATTGTTGGAATTTTTCTATTGTTCATTTCAATGTTATTCAATTGTTTTGTTTTCTTTTTTAATAAAAATGGAACAAATTTTGAATATTTTACAAGGATTTTCCCTTTAATTTCCCCTTGCAGTTAATTAAAACTGCAAGTGCACATCTTGAGAATGAAATGTTTCAACAGTCCTCTGCAAAGTAATCTCAGTCACATTTCTTAAATTCACATGCTTGTTATGTGTTTATGTGTATCAATGTACTTACGTGATTTTGTATTTTTCCCCATTGGTCAGGTCGTGTGTTTGTCTCTTATATAAAGTCCCAATACAATGATGTCAATGATTATGTGAAAAGTTCAAGGTTCCTAAAATACTTCAAAACAATCTGCGATTCTTTAACTGAGCTTAACTTTTTCAAAAGAAGAGAAAACCAAGAGGGTATATGCTTTGTTTTTTTGTTTTGTCTTTTTTTTTTTTTTTTACTGAAGGTATCGAATCCAGATGCACGTCGCACTTAAACTGGCCAATCACCGCGGCTCCAGCAGGAGGGGCTGACGACTCATTTCACCGGCTCGTCTCAAAGTTGCAGAGCATCGTTCAGTCCCCGCCTGCCTCTCTGTCTGACTCCTCTCTTACCTGCCAGTTCTTCCGCCGCTGCATCTCCTCCACTTCTCTCCAGCCTGCGAGACTTTTCACTGAAGCCTTCAAGAAGTGCGTCTCGAAGCCTTTGGAAAGATGTTAGCTTGCACCGAGATGATCACTATGTGCCTGCAGTCGGCCAAACAGAAGCATCTTCGAGCTCAGCAGCAACAGCAGCCGCTGCACAGCTCCGGACAGGGGCTTACTATCTTTCACGATGTAAGTGGAGATTTTCTCGTCCACAGTGAAAAGTCAATTTTTTTGCACTATGTTCCATGTTTTTTATATATATATATATATATATATATATATATATATATATATATATATATATATATATATATATATATATATATATATATATATATATATATATATATATATATATATATATATATATATATAAACAATACTGTATATATATTTACACTTTTCTATTTACAATAGTGTAAAAAGAAACAGGAGGGTCGTGTGTGTGCGTGTGTGTTATTTTAAATAGGAACGAAGGTAGAGCTGCAGCTGCTGCCTCTGCATGATAAATTAAGCTCTCAGTTGGACAGTTTTAGGGGCTGCTAGAGGTTCTCCCCTTTCGACACACTGTCACACTTGTGCTTTCTGCGAGGCTTTACCCAAATTACCTCAAAATGAAGTTGCTTAAGTTATAAACTATGTTTCATGGAATTCTTCTGGGAAGAAGTTTTCTGACCCAATTTAATGGTTCCCTGGAGGATGTTGTCATATGTTCAATGCTACACAATCATCGCCTGTTTCTGCTCTTCCCAGGAGCCCTTAATTAAAGCCATGCACAGACATACTCATAGACAATCCTGTTTCAAATGCTGCTTAAACAAATATCAAGAACAGCTGCTAGATTAACCTGCAATGCTGCCATAGAAACCGTCCATCTTGTTAAAAGTTTTCAGGCCAGGGATGTTTCCAGATTTGAACTCTTACTATAGCTGACAGCTTTGAGGCAAGTCTATCATTATGACATTACCCATGGCAGCTTTTGGACAGTCACAGTACTTATCAGGCATTTTCATCTCTGTAAAACATTGTGATTGAAGTGTTTGACACCAGGCTGTTAAGGATATAATGCAAAACAAAAAACATGAAAATATCTTAATTCTCCACTGAAAATTAGATTTATTAGCAAAATATGAAAACTAATAAATTAAGTAAGAGCTATTACATTGGTCTACATACCTCTGATTAAAAGATTTCTTATAATCCAATACAAAGTGCCACTTTTAATGAACTTTATTCACCCTTTCCAAACAAGCGGCTTGCTGGAATCTAGTAACTGGCATCAAAACTTCTTTTTCCTCCATATTCAGGTGATGTAACCATTGTTCCTTTAAAGTGCAACCTATGCTTTCAATCTCTCAGAACATGCAAGGTCCTTACTATCTTTAGGATCCCAATGCTCTCTGGCCCTTCTGGAGAATTAGTTTGACTGTGTGAAGCTATTTCACTGTTCTTTTGTGAGTTATTGCAAAAAAAAAAAAAAAACTTATGTAATTTTCTTGGTTTTGATCATAATATTTCCCTGTTCCTAGCTTAGCCCACCTTATTTGTTGTAGGGTTTGATGCATTCATTTCTAATGGTGTGCGTTTTTGTGACAAGAAACAATTTCTCTCGAGTGGAAATATTTTTTGCCTGTTGGGTACCCAATTATTTTAAATTAACCACAGTCAGATTTTGATTCGAGAGAGGGTTTGAAAGCATTCTGTGCAGTTTCTTGCTGTTGTACCTTTCAAATTGCTCAGTGTGAGACAGACTCTCACCTGACTGTGAGATACGCTGAGAGTATAATTCCTTTTATCCCTCGAGTAAAAGTAGCAAAAAAGTCTCTGGTGATGAATTATTGTGATATTCTTGGATTTGTTGTGAGGGTGACACATACTTTTTTTTTGTTACTGGGAATGATTGAACCGCAGAATACACTGGTGTAAAAGAATGGAAAAAAACAAAACAAAAAAAAAACATCTTTTCCCAGAAAGCATTTTGATTGTGAGGACGATTGACTCTGTATTGCACAAATACTTATTCCCCCAAATTAAAATGTGATAAGAGCATCTGCAGGAGGTCCATGGTGAGTCCTAATTACAGGATAATGAGCAATTACTAATGTGAAGAATGCCAGAATTATAGTATCTCAGAGATTATGCTTTGCTTCAAAAATGCTGTATTTGAAGGCCAGAAACAATGAATGATCCTGGTGTGCGTAGGCTGTTTAGTCATTCTTAATAATTCTCTGCACCAAGAGGTTTGTTTCTGACGTTTGCTGCAGAATGCCATCTCTTTTCTCCCCTTGCTTGTCCTTACATCCCTTTTCTTACCCCCTTCTGATGTTCATCTCTCCTGCTGTGGTGGAGAAACAGTAAAACTATTACAGTTGGTGATTTTTCATGGAGGTTTAGTTTAGGAGCATATCAGTCACGGAGTCCTCATTACATACACCTTTTTCTCAGAACTGTTTATTTTTTATAAGTCATGCACAGACAGAAGACCCTGTGAGAAGCCACTGTCTTAATTCCTGCCACCATAGCATCAAACCAGCAGCGCGCTGGGAAGCAGGTCTGACCTTTTCCTGGGATTGCTGTAAATGATGCATTATCTACTCCTGACTCTTGAAAGCCCAAAGACAGAGGCCACAACAAACAAGTTTAAACAATCCTGTTCTTCACTTAATTGAACAGGAGACAGGAACACTTTGATGGAATAAAGAAAGAAAAAAAAATGAGAAGAAAAAAAAAAGATTCACACAACAGAAATGGATGCACAAAGGAAAAACACCTAAAGTTGTCTAATAGCTGAAGAGGGATCATATTATCTTGCCACTATGTTGTTTAAACAATAACATTGATTAAATAAAAGAACTGCTTTGAAGGTACTTATCTGCCTAGATAAATAAGTTAAAAATAGTGAGATTAGTGTGTTGGGAAGAGGTTGGAAATTACCTGAATCCTGTTATAAGTCAGAAATTGACATACAAAGGGCAGAAGTCCAGAGTTTGAGCTTGTTGACCTATAGAGAGTGAAAGTGAAGTGCAGGTTTGGCAGTTATTAATAACTTACAGGTTATGCCTGGCATGCTTGTCAGGCATGACCTCTGGCATAATCAATAGTTGAGAAAATATCAAATGGTCTGTATAATCAGAATGTGAGGAGCAAGACCTCTTCTAAATGAACTGGTCTGATGGTGTAAGCTCTTTGAAAGCATTGTCTCATTTATTTATGACAGTTCTGCTCTGCTTCTTCAATCTTGACTCAAGTACAATCTCATTTGCAGTGCAGTGATGTAAAATGGTAAGATTCTTTTTTTATTTTTTGTGATTATCTTAAATTTAATCACAAGATTAGATTAAATTTATCTCTATATGTTATTTTTTTGTTTGTTTGTTTCTTCTTGAATATTTTTCCTCTTAATGCCTGTTGTACTGTGGTCCTTGCTTTCAATTACGTTTTCTGCACCACATAGTTTAAACAAGCACAAAGACAGTATCAAAACAAAAGAAAAACTGAACTATGCACATCTGTAAAATGAAGCTAAAGTCACTGGTGACCTGGATACTGACTGACCAATTTGGAAATTGGATGCACACATGCTAAAAAAAATCAGAAAACTGAAAGAAAAGTCACAGGGAGCCTTTGGCTGAAGGAACAATGACAAAATGAATAGGGAGGGAAAATTAAGCAACAGATGACTGAAACTGACTAAATTCAACATGGGGCAGCATCAGTTGTTGTTCCCAAGGCTTTTCTTCAAGCAGCTGACTAACACCTTTTGCAAGATCAAGAGTGAGGCATATTGTTGATCTTCTTTTGGGAGCCAATAAGTGGCTTTCCCAGAGTTGGTGACTCATCTGTTCTGGAGCTGTTCGGCTGATTTGTGCTGATATCCGTCAAGCAAGTTTATTATCTTCAATCTTAAAAAAGCCTCACTTATTCAGATGCTGCAATGGGTGGAGGTGT